CCAGTCAGTGGGTTTAGGGTCCACCTTAACTTGGTATGACCTCATCTTAATGGGCATCTTCATTTCATCTGCAAAGGCCCTATTTCCAAATAAGGTCACATTCTGATTTTCGGGGTAGACGTAACATTTTGGGGGACATTATTCACCCCACTAACTAATTACCACACACTTGGAGGCTTACAACAATGACATTTATTTTCTCTCCAGTTCTGGAGTCCAGAAGTCCCAAATCAAGGTATCAGCTGGGCTATGCTCCCTTGGAAGGCTCTAGGGTGAAAGTGTTTTCCGGCCTCTTGCAGCTTCTGGTGTGGCCGGCAGTCCTTGGCATTTCTTGACTTGCAGTTGCACCACTTCAGTCTCTGCTGGCACATGGCCTTCTAGCCTGCATGTCTGCATCTTGTCCTCTTCTTCTTCTTCTTTTTTTTTTTTTTTTGAAATGGAATCTCACTCTGTTGCTCAGGCTGGAGTGCAGTGGTGTGACCTCGGCTCACTGCAACCTCCACCTCCTGGGTTCAAGCAATTCTCCTGCCTCAGCCTCCCAAGTAGCTGGGATTACAGGCATGCACCACCACACCTGGCTAATTATTGTATTTTTAGTAGAAACGGGGTTTCACCATGTTGGCCAGATTGGTCTCAGACTCCTGACCCCAGGTGATTCACTTGCCTTGACCTCCCAAACTGCTAGAATTACAGGTGTCCTCTTCTTTTAAGGATGCCAATCAGTGGGTTTAGGGTCCACTCTAACCTGGTATGACCTCATCTTAATGTGCATCTTCATTTCATCTGCAAAGGCCCTATTTCCAAATAAGGTCACATTCTGATTTTCGGGATAGACGTGACAGTTTGGGGGACATTATTCACCTCACTACAGGTACCAAGAATGAGAATGGATGTTGGGATAGTGGCCTCTGCTTCAGTCTTTGAGTCCCCCAAACTTTGCAATAAAGTGGAGCTCACAAAATCAGTCATGGGTCGGTGGGCTTGTTTTCACTGAGATATGTTTCCTGGTATACTTGACTGCTGAGAAACAACCAGACTCTGTTCCTTCGGGGCAGAGGGGACAGTGAGGGCTTGGAGAGGACAATCTGCCTTTGAGTCATGGTTCTGCTGCTAACTGGAGTGTTAGCACTGGGCCTCAAGTTTGCATGTAACTTGGGGTAAATGATGTCCACTTTGAGGATTTCAAGACTCAGAGAGTGTCTTTTAAGTATAAAATAGTACCTAGCTCATGCTAGCATTGAGAGGAGCGATAGCCAACATCAAGTTTGTCATTCTTTCCTGAACTCTGTTGATTGCGATTCTTTTGGTCACAAGTGACAGAAATTCCATATCAAACCAGCTTAGGCCACGGGAGTCTATTGGCTCTCCCAACTGAAGTCATGGAATTTGCTGTAGGAGCAGCTCCAGGTGCACTAACGATGTTATCCAGGATCCTGGGTTCTTGGGCTCTGCTCTGCCTCCCGCTGTGTCATTCCCAGGCTGTGGGCTCTCATGCTGTGTTGGGGGGATGCCACCACTATGCCAGGTCCTGTGTTCTTACACCACACCGCCCAGAGTCCCTTTCTCAGCTCCTAAAGAAAAACAGGAGGATCCTGGCGCTGCCCTCTTCTGGCCATTGGTTCTGATTGGGTTGTGCATCCATCCTGAAGCAATTACTGTTGGGGCTGGGACATTTGGGTGGCATAAGCCAATCAGGGACTGCCCTGGGAACTTACAGTGGTGTTAGTTCCACCCCTTTCCTACTGCACATGCTAAGACTGGGTGTGTGGGAGAAGGGGAGATGGATGCAGGAAGGAAGCTGAGGGATGTTCCATACGGTCAGGTGAGCAGTTCCAGGAAGCTCAGGATTTCATCCGGGTCCCAAGGGCAGTGAGGTAGGATCACTGAGAGCTCAGCTTGTGATCCAGGAGTAAAGTCAGTGAACTGTGAGTGTGCCTGCCTCTTGCTACATGAGCTTGCCAGTGTCTTAACCTCTGGGGCCTCAGGACTCTCATGCTGGCTCTGGAACGTGTTCTGCATTGGCCGGCCGGCCATTTCTAGATGCCGTCTCTGCTGTTTGAGAATATTTTCTAGGAAACTTTCCTGTGGTGGCTGGGGCAGAAGCCCTCTGTCTCACTTACTAGGACAAGGGGGAATTGGTGCTCCTCCAGGTGGAGAATTTGGGATCCTGGAGATGTCTTGCTCGCGATGGTGCTGCCTTTTGTGGGGAGCTAGTGGGGGCTTCACTGCAAAGCTGACACTGAGGGGCAGATGAGAACCCTCTCTTACCCATGATGGACAGACTATTGGCTTGCAACACCCTTAGCTGCCCCTACCAATTTCCCTCACTTTGATGTTGTTATTGTTGTTTTTCTCCTCATAGCACAAATCACTCTGAATCGCTACCATGTCTGCTTATTTAATATGTTTATTGCCTACTCCCCCGTCCCGCAGAATGGAAGCTCCCAGGGCAGGGAGTCTGATCTCTTTTGCTCACTAATGTTTCTCAGCACCCACTGATAGTGCTTAGCTCAGTGTGTGTTGAGTTAATGAAAGCGTGCTTGAGCGAATTAAATGAATAAGCTCCTTCTGCATAATGATTTTTGCTTTGGGGTTTGGTTGGCATCTACCTTGGCAGTGGTGTTTTCAGCATGTTTAAAGATTCCTCCTGTGCAACGGACGGTGCTCCTACCCATTTGGAAACTGCAATACTCGGGATTTGGGATTTGGCCCAAGCAGGTAGATGCTGGTGGACCATCACCAGGGGGAGCAGTGGGCACATTCAGCGGCTGCTTAGGAGAAACTGCATGGGGCACCCATTGCAGGGGCCAAGAGATCATCCTGGCCGATGGAAGCAGCCTTTTGTCTTCCAAAGAAGGTGCCTCAGAGAGCTCTGAAGTATAAATTAGTACCTAGCTCCCAACTAGCACATAAGAGAGAAGTGATACCCCTGGCAAGTTTGTTGTTCTTTCCTGAGCTCTATGTTGATTAGGATTATTTTGGTTGCAAGTGACGGAAATTCCACATCAGAACTGTAGCACTGTGGTACTTGGCTGGAAAACCTGTCAGTCTGGAATCTAGGGGTACCATTTCCTTTCTTCTCTCATCGCTATGTTATTTTTTCAGTTTTTAGCGGTCTTCTTTTAAAATAAAATAGCCTCGTGTTACCTAGGGGCTAGAAGAGATTAAGAGTGGCAGCGAACACTGATGGCGGGCTTGCGATATGCCAGGCACTGTGCCAGGTTCTTCCCATGGTTGCTCCAAAGCTGCTCAACAGTTAGGCAGAGTTGGTTCTAAAGTCTTCTTATTGTCCACATTTTACAGAGACAGAAGTTGAGTCAGAGAGGTGGCCCAACCTGCCCATGGTCATATGGTAAGGGTTGGGGGGTGGGTGGGATTTTAGCTGGTTTCTCTCTGCTATCAGAACAGGGCCCTTCACCTAAATTCTCTGCTGTGGCAGTCTGTGTCTGAAATCAAGGTATATGATTTAGAAGTAAGAACTTTGGATCGTAATCCACTGAAATGTAACCTGCTACATGAGCGGGCTGAGCAGGAGGAGCCTTTGCATCTGTTTCCTTGCAGTTGCTGCAACAAATACTCTCAAACTTCATGGCTTAACATGACAGAAATGTGTTCCCATACAGTTCTGGAGGCCAGGAGATTGAAATCAAGGTGTCTGCATGCCCACACTTCCCCCTAAGGCTGTGGAAGAGGATCCTTCCCAGCCTCTTCCTGATGCTGGTGTTGCTAGCTGACCTTGAGTTCCTTGGCTTGAGGCCGCGTCCCTCCAGCCTCTGCCTCCATCCTCACACGGCCTTCCCCTCTGTGTCTGTCTTCTCCTCTGATAAGGACACCAGTCATAAGGGCCCACCCTGCTCCATGATGACCTCATCTTAACTAATTGCACCTGCGGTTACCCTCTTTCCAAATAAGGTTCCGTTCTGAAGTTCCGGGAAGGCCATGGGTCTTGGGGGGCTGCTATCTAACCAGGACAGTGCCCTCGCTGGAGCATCCAGAAAAAGCCAGAGTGGATGACCTGGGGCTGACACTTCCTCTGCATACTTTTTTTGGTGTGGTTTCCGCACTGTCACCCGGCCCACTGTATTGAGCCTGTGTCCCTTCTGACACTCCCCCGTAGGAAGGCTGGACAAGACAGGGCTGGGGGTGAACTGAAGATTAAGTTCAGGTTTGTAGGTGGGGAAGCTGTGGTCCCTCCGAGATCCAAGCAGAGGTGTGAAGCAGCCAGCTGGTTCTGTGATTGTGGGACTCAGAGAGAAGTCAGGGCTGAGGCATGTGTTTAAGATCTGCTGCATCCGTGGGCTTGATACCATTGGGAAGGACCCGGCTGCCTTGGAGAGGATACAGAGTGAGAAGAGACCTGAGCCTTGGAAACTCCAGGCTTCAATGACAGCCAGAGCAAGACAGTCTATAAAGAATATAGAAACTGGGAAGTGACCTTGGGGAGAGGGAACAGGAGGTCATGAAGTCAGGGAGTGAGTGATGGCGTCAGGGCGGGAGGACGGAATGTCATCTGGTGGGTTCGGTGGCCAGGAGAGCACTGGTGACCTTGGCAGGAGCTGTCTGGTGGTGAGTGTTGGGGAGCTGTGGCCAGGCAGGAGAGGGTCAATGACCGAGAGGGAGACATGGGCCTGGAGACGGAGAGAGAAGCCAACTCTGCCAAGAAGCTGAGCTGCAGAGGCGTGGCTGGGGGCTGGCAGTGTTTTATTTTATTTCATTAACATAAGAGAGACAGGAGCATACACTGATGTCAGTACGTGTGTCAGGTTGAATATATATGTGCCTTAACCCCTAGCTCTGTCTCCTCTGTCTTGGGGCAGTGACAGGGAACAAGCCCTGGGCTGTGGGCTATGCTTGCTCTGCATCTGGAGTTTACTGAATTCAGTCGACTCAGGCCCGAGACACTGCTTTGACCTTTCCCTGGGCTGAAGGCCCCAAGCAGGGGAGAGATTTCCTTGGTCACAAGCCCCTAGGGCTGACCGCTTGTTCTTTCTCCTTTTCAGATGGATGAGATCAAAGGGAAAGACCGTGTGATTCTGGCCTTGGAGAAGGAACTTGGCGTGCAGGCTGGGCAGACCCAGAAGCTGCTCCTGCAGAAGGAGGCTTTGGATGAGCAGCTGGTTCAGGTCAAGGAGGCCGAGCGGCACCACAGTAGCCCGAAGAGAGAGCTCCCGCCAGGGATTGGGGACATGGTGGAGCTCATGGGCGTCCAGGTGAGGGGCAGCAGCTTGTGCCAGCCTCAGGCTGGTCCCCCATCCATTTACGGGGCATCCTTCTGGTCAGCCACAGAGGACACTGAGGCAGCATGTATTCATTCATTCACTCATTCACTCAGCATTGGAGGGGATGTTATAAATTCCTGGATAAATTCCTGTTATAAATTATAAAGTGCTGGACACTGTGTGAGGGGCCGGTGCATGGTGGCCTTTGTAAGAGATGCAGGGTGGGAAGGGCCTGATCACAAGGTCCCCAGGAGCCACGGAAGGATTCGAAGTCTCAGTGGCCTTCTAGGTGGGGTCTTCCGCAGGTGTGCAGTGGCCTTGCGTGTTCCCCACCTTGCTGTGTGGCATGTGGGCCCCTGAATAAGGATCTCACCCATTATGTCATGTGAATTTTCTAAGAAGGCTCCACACAACTTCTTCAAAGTACATTTACGTCTTGACTTTTTTTTTTTTTTTTTTTTTTTTTAGGATCAACATATGGACGAGCGAGATGTGAGGCGATTTCAACTAAAAATTGCTGAACTGAATTCAGTGATACGGAAGCTGGAAGACAGAAATACGCTGTTGGCAGATGAGAGGAATGAACTGGTAAGCAGCCCTGAGAGACAGGCGGTGCCTCACAGGGTGCAAAGAAGGGGCCCCGAGTCCCCGAAACATGCCCTGCACAGAAAGTTAATGCAGAGGCCTTCTGGTTCTCTGAACTTAACTTCTTTCTTCTTTTTAATTAAAAATCTAACACATGCTCATTGAAGAAATCTCTTACTGCCATTTGTTTTTGCAGGAACTTATCTTGAGCAAACAATTGGAGAAGTTCCATGAGAAGCATGGAGAGGATGTTCATTGCAGTGTTGTTTATATTAACAACCCAAACCAAACCAAATCAAAAATTAAAAAACAAAAAAACCCGATTGTTCAATACTAAAGCACGGGGCATAGTGATCATGGAATATTTATACAATGAATTCTAGACTATCATTAAGATTGATGATGGAGACCCTATTTAACTGACATGGAAATGTGTTCGTAGTAAATTAAATGAAAAATGCAGTTTACAGAACAATAATACATTGTCATCATCTTGAATATTAGAAGTTATTCTTTTTTTTTTTTTTTGAGACAAAGTTTTGCTTTTGTCTCCCAGGCTGGGGTGCAATGGCATGATCTTGGCTGACTATAACCTCCACTTCCCGGGTTCAAGTGATTCTCCTGCCTCAGCCTCCCAAGTAGCTGGGATTACAGGCATGCACCACCACGCCCGGCTAATTTTGTACTCTTAGTAGAGATGGGGTTTCTCCATGTTGGCCAGGCTGGTCTTGAACTCCTGACCTCAGGTGATCTGCCCACCTCAGCCTCCCAAAGTGCTGGGATTTATAGGTGTGAGCCACCACACCTGGCTAGAAGTTATTCTTTTAGGTGGTGTAATTATGGGTAATTTTAATTTGTGCTTATCTATTTACTTTTTTGCATAAAATTGTATATACTTGTAAACTAAAACTTATACATTACTTGTAAAAATAATGAACATAGACTTCTGGTTAAAAAAGAAATCTCCAGTAAAAATAGCAATGTCATGAATATGTTTATATTTTCTGGATAAGAGCAAAACTAATTTTTATGTAATGGCAGTTGATACATCAACTTCTTGACAGATGCCTCATAACTTTTATGTTTATTCTAATTTCTATTATGAAGGGAAGTATATCAGAAGAATATTTGAAAAAAATGAGTGGTGAACAGCGTCAATAAGTATCACCTCTCCACAACTTTAACAGGATCAAAATAAATTCACTTCCTTCCAGTATTTTTAAAGGCTTTTTTTTTTTTTTGCTTTAATCAGACTGTACATCTAATATTATGTCTCCACTCTTCATTTAAATATTTATAAGCTCATAAATACTCATGAGCTGCATAATAGTTTACTGAGTGGATTAGGAAAAATCATAGGCTTCTGGAAACATGTCAGATCAGACTGAAGTAGTTAAAAGTAGAAACTGATAAGTTTGCCAACGCTTCAATCTTTTGTTTTTTTTGAGGTGGAGTCTTGCTCTGTCGCCCAGGTTTGAGTGCAGTGACATGATCTCAGCTCACTACAACCTCCACCTCCTGGGTTCAAGTGATTCTCCTGCCTCAGCCTCCCGAGTAGCTGGGATTACAGGCACTTGCCACCATGCCTGGCTAATTTTTATATTTTTAGTAGAGATGGGGTTTCACCATGTTGGCCAGGCTGGTCCTGAACTCCTGACCTCAAGTGATCGGCCTGCCTCAGCTTCCCAAAGTGCTGGGATTACAGGCATGAGCCACCGTGCCCGGCCTCAATCTTAAAATCGTGAGGTAACTACTGCTAGTTTGGGGTGGTTCTTACATGTTTTTAACGTTTAAATAAATACCTTGAAACCCACCAAGAGACTTTTTATTTTATGGTTATGAATTGGGATTTTTTTCCCCTGCTGTGTATTGTTCTGCAACTTGCTTTTTTCACTTCATGGATCAATTACAGCACTCCCCATCAGCGCTTAGAGATCTGTCTTTGTCTTTTTACCGGTGGCTTGGTAGTCCATTGTGTGGAAATACCATGGTCTGTTCAACTCTCTTCCCAGTGGTGGATCTTTAGGCTGTTGCTGCTTTCTGGATTTCTGTGAGGTGCCACATGCCTGTAATCTCAGCACTTTGGGAAGCCAACGTGGGCAGATTCCTTGAGCTCAGGAGTTTGAGCCCAGCCTGGGCAACATGGCAAAACCCTGTCTCTAAAAATACAAAAAATAATTAACTGGGCACAGTGGTGCACACCTGTAGTTCCGGCTACTTGGGAGGCTGAGGTGGGAGATCACTTGAGCCCAGGATGTCAAGGTTGCAGTGAGCTGAAATCATGCCACGACACTCCAGCCTGGGTGACATAGTGATACCCTTTGTCAAAATGACCCATGTCATTTTACCTACCTTCTGTCTCAAAAAAAAAAAATGCCATGTAGAAGATACATATGGGTCTTTACTGACTTTAAATAAAAGTTCAAGTCAGTAAAGACACACATGTATCTTCTACATGGCATTTTTTTGGGGGTGGGTAAGTTTCTAGAAGTAGAATGCATGGGTCACATGGTACATTTTATATTTCAACCTATACCATCAGAATATTTTACCTTAACATTTACAGCCTGGGGAGTAAACTCAGGGGTCTAGAGTCAGTCCCTTGTGTTTAATTCTTGGTGAATTCAAACCACCAATCTTTGCAAGAGTGCAAAGCATTCTTAGCACTTTCTTTGTGAAGGTGGGCCCATTGCCTCCTCTCTTTGGGCTCAGGTTCTTTGTCTATAACATGGGGATGGGGAAGGTGTCCCCTTCACATGTGGTGGCTGTGCCTGTAGTTGTCATAATATTGATAGATATTTAAGTTGTTCCTAATTCTTTCCATGAAAATAACACTGGGGAGACTACCACTATGCATTCAGTTCTCACCATGTGCCTAGGATACAGGAGCTGCCATGATTCTCATTTGATAGATGAGGAAATTGAGGCTGAGAACTTGCCCATTGTCATGCAACTAGCAAACAAATGTGTCACCCAGGACACTGGCCTCAGAAGGGGTCCTAACCGGGTTGAGTCTCTGCTCACCTTGGTGCTGTGACCTTGGCCGTCTGTTGTCAAGTTGTCTGAGTCTCTGTACCTGTTTCCAACCACAGCTGAAACGCTCGCGAGAGACCGAGGTTCAGCTGAAGCCCCTGGTGGAGAAAAACAAGAGGATGAACAAGAAAAATGAGGATTTGTTGCAGAGTATCCAGAGGATGGAGGAGAAAATCAAGAACCTCACGCGGGAAAACGTGGAAATGGTGAGCTGTGGGCCCCTTGGGGCCAGCCCTGGCACTCCCAACTCTGTCTGGGATTCTCCAGCCCTGAACCTCCCAGTTCACATGTTCTGGGCCCCACCTGCCACCCACCTCCCCACGAAGCACCAGGAGCAGTGTCAGTCACAGATATCTCTCGCTTCTCTCCACCTGTCTCACATTCACTGTTCTCTGGGTGTTTGTGTCCGGAGGGAGTCAGACAGCTGCGTCCTTAAACACATCCCCCATTCTCTCTGAGCCTCTGTTTCTTTATGCATACATGGGAATGAAAATATCAACACTGGAGGATCATCAAGAGGATGAAATGACAGCATGTAAAGACCTCACAGGGAACAGGCCCAGAGGACACCCAGCATGTGAAAGCCATTACGATGATCACTGGTGATGCTTTGCAGAGGGGTTTCTCCTCCAGCTAGGATGCCTGGTGTTTGTGGTTGGGGCGGGTGTCTTGTAGCTGACAGTTTACAGAATGCTTTCAGATTCATTGTTCAGAGTAGTATCAACCCCCATTTTACAGCCGGGAAGACAGAGGCTCTGATGGCACACACGCTCTGCTGTCCGCACTGTAGCAGGTGCAGGGGTGTGTGTGTGTGTGTGTGTGTGTGTGTGTGTGTGTGTGTAACTGCTGTTGTGTGGAGTCCTCTCCTTCCCCTGCCTTCCCCTCCCAGCTCTCTAGGCTCATTTCAGATGTCATCTTCCACCCCCAGGCCCTGCCCATCCCTTCCTGTCAGCAGTGTGCATGGTGAGCCTCACCTTGGACTTGGCTTTGGTCTTCCCTGTCCCCTCTTCCAGCACAGGACAAGATGGCCACGTATTAGTCCATTTTCACACTGCTGATAAAGACGTACCTGAGACTGGGTAATTTACAAAGAAAAAGAGGGGTTTAATGGACTCACAGTTCCACGTGGCTGGGGAGGCCTCACAATCATGGTGGAAGGCTGTAGGCACATCTTACATGGTGGCAGACAAGAGAAATTGAGAGCCAAGTAAAAGGGGAAACCCCGTATAAAAACATCAGAGACTTATTCACTACTTATTCATGGGGTGGGGGAACCGCACCCGTGACTCAATTATCTCCCACCGGGCCCCTACCACAACATGTGGGAATTATGGGAGCTGCAATTCATGATGAGATTTGGGTGGGGACACAGCCCTATCAGGCCATCCTCTCCCTCATCCTCCCATCCATCCTTCTGTCCCTGCACCCCTGAGCTCCACTCCAGCTCCGTCCCTCACAGACGTTGTTGGCGGCTAACCCTGTGGTGGTCTCTCTCCCTGTGGCTGCAGAAAGAAAAGCTGTCAGCGCAGGCCTCTCTGAAGCGGCACACCTCCCTGAATGACCTCAGCCTGACGAGGGATGAGCAGGAGATCGAGTTCCTGAGGCTGCAGGTGCTGGAGCAGCAGCACGTCATTGACGACCTCTCACTGGTACATCTAGCACAGCTGGCGCGGCTGCCCCTGGTGGGGGCGGCACTGGTGACATGGGTGTCAGGAACAGGCGTTGGCGCTCAGAGTGATGCTGCTGAGCTGGGTCAGGGTCAGGCAGTGCTGACTTTGGGAGTCACCAAGCTCACCCTGGTGTGCACATTCCTGCTTCATTCTGCCATCAAGCAGCCTTGGCTTAAATGAGATCACTGGAACCTGGGGACAGTTTCCATGGCTACCCTTTTCTCACATCTTCTCCCTGGCTTGCTGTGGTTAAGAAGCAGTATCAGTTTTAAGGATGTCTTTTGGCCTTTAGAGACTTGGCATGATCTGTTCCAGAGAAGACTTTTTGTTTGTTTGGTTGGTTGGTTTTTAGCTTAGCAGTTGCAGACTGTGAGTTTGGGCCCACAAACTTGAACCTTATAATCAGACCAGCACCTTGCTAAGGCTGCCTGTGTGAGTTTTGGATGTGCATATGGGGCATGGATCTATCCAAGGGGATTGAGCATGTCCTAAGCAGGTGGGGAATTACACCCAGAGAATTCCACAGCTCTCTGTGAAAGGAGCTTAGGCAACAGGCAGAGAACACCTGAAGGGAGCTTTAGTTGGATCTTAGAAGCAGAATGCATTCTGCTCACCGAAGAGGGTGTGTGATGGTTCCATGTACTGGTCTTCAAAGAATAGAAAAGCTAGTGATCAAAATTCTAGAAAAGGCTTTGATTATAATTGTCATGTTCATTTTGCCTGCCTCCATCTCACTTTGCCTCTTTAACTTCTCTCTTCCTTTCATCCATCCATCCATCCATCCATCCATCCATCCTTTCATCCTTCCATCCACTTACCTATGCATCCATCTATCCATCCATCCATCTTTGCTTCATTACACGAAAGACTCAATGCAGTTTAGGGTGAAGAATATATTTCAATGAAATAACAATAAAGTCAAAAGGTGGATAATAAACTCTCCCTGTAGCTCTCAGTTCAGAGAAGCAGCCATCACTTGGGCACTTAGAACTTGAACTAGCCATGCCTGGTGCGGATGGGCAGGCCCAGCTCCCTTTGAGAGCCAGTGGCTTTGATTCATGAGATGTGAGGCTGGCTGGAAATGCCAACCGTTGTGTTTCCTTCTAGGAGAGAGAACGGCTGTTGCGCTCCAAAAGGCATCGAGGGAAAAGTCTGAAACCGCCCAAGGTGAGCCTGCGATGGTGCACCTGCCCTGCCTTGCCACTGTGTCACAGATCTGCAGGGCAGATGGGCCGTGGGAGGGGGGAGGTTTCACAGGGGTCCTGAAGCGGACACACACAACTCGGCATGCCTGATGATGAAAAGCCTGTCATCGCTGTCTCTCAAAGCAACATCAATATGGCCGTGTCGTGCGACCCAGTTATTGTAATTTATTCATGGAAAACTTCCTGATGAATTCTCTACTTAGGCCTCAGGGTATATTCACCCAAAATTAAAAACATAAATACTTAAACCTTTTGAAGGATTGGCCGGGCGCGGTGGCTCAAGCCTGTAATCCCAGCACTTTGGGAGGCCGAGACGGGCGGATCACGAGGTCAGGAGATCGAGACCATCCTGGCTGACACGGTGAAACCCCGTCTCTACTAAAAAATACAAAAAACTAGCCGGGCGAGGTGGCGGGCGCCTGTAGTCCCAGCTACTGGGGAGTCTGAGGCAGGAGAATGGCGTGAACCCGGGAGGCGGAGCTTGCAGTGAGCTGAGATCCGGCCACTGCACTCCAGCCTGGGCGGCAGAGCGAGACTCCGTCTCAAAAAAAAAAAAAAAAAAAAAAAAAAACCTTTTGAAGGATTTAAGGGACATTGAGGGTTGGTTTATATCAGAGCATATCCTGTTCTGAAAATACTCAGGAGCTTTGTGTTGTGTTGGAATCATGCAGAACTGTCGTCTTTTTGGAAAACACAGGTCTGCCGTTTCCTAGTAACAGCGTCTGAAGGAGCCGGGCTTGTAAAATTCAAATGCCCACATGGACCAATCTGGAACTGATACCAAAAACAAACAAGCAAACAAAAACATAGTTCGCCTTTAAACCCATAAACCTATTTTTTGCTTCCACAAAGACACAGGTCTCCTCTCCCTTTTTTTTTTTTTTTTTTTTTTTTGAGACAGAGTCTCACTCTGTCACCCAGGCTGGAGGGCAGTGATGCCATCTCGCCTCATTGCAACCTCCACCGCCCAGGTCAAGCAATTCTCCTGCCTCAGCCTCCCGAGTAGCTGGGATTACAGGCATGTGCCACCACACCTGGCTAATTGTTGTATTTTTAGTAGAGGCAGGGTTTCACCATGTTGGCTAGGCTGGTCTCCTCTCCTTTTTTTTGAATACAGGTGCCCCGTTTGGTTTATCTTTTGATCGAGATGTGGTTATAGAGAAATATTTCTCAACTATAAGGAAAACAGCTGTGCAAATGTGATAGTGAATGGCCAAGGACATACAGTCTTGGTGTCAAGGTGGCAATAGGGAGTGGTGGGGACTGTGGCAAACTGGGCCCTGAATCCTGGTTGCTATAAGAAGGTGGACTGGTGGCATCAGATAGTCTAGTCTTTCAGGATAAATGTAAATCCTTATCTGTTAGTTTCCTAGGGCTGCCTTAACAAAATACCACAAAATCAGTGGCATAGAGCCACAGAAAAAGGCCGGGCAGAGTGGCTCATGCCTGTAATTCCAGCACTTTGAGAGGTCAGGGTGGTTGGATTGCTTGAGCCCAGGAGTTTGAGATCAGCCTGGGCAACATAGCAAGACCCTGTCTCTACAAAAAATTTTAAAAATTAGCTGGATATGGTGGTGCCTGAAGTCGCAGCTATTTGGGAGGCTGAAGCAGGAGGACTGCTTGAGCCCAGGAGGTCAAGGCTATAGTGAGTCATGATTGCACCGCTGCACTCCAGCCTCAGTGGCAGAGCAAGACACTGTCTCAAAAACAAACAAACAAAACAAAACAAAACAAAACAAACAAACAAACAAAAAAACAAGAAGGGAAAAGAAGTGTATTGTCTTAACAGTTCTAGAGGCCAGAATGCTGAAATTAAGGTGTCGGTAGAGCCATTGTCCCTTCCTCTAAAACCTATAGCAGACCCTTCCTTTCCTTTTCCTAGCTTAGAGCAGTTTCCTAGCAATCTTTGGTGTCCTTGGTTTGCAGCCACCACTCATGCTAGATCAGGTGTCCATCCTACTTCAGTGTGACCTCATGATCATTTAACTACATCTGCGGTGATCCTATTTCCAAATAAGTCACATTCTGAAGTACTGAGGTTAGAACCTCAACCTGTCTTTTTAGGGGATACAGTTTAATCCATAACACCTTACTTTATGTGAAATTGAAGGACATAAATGTTGGATTTTAAATGTCCGTAACACTGTGGTCTGAATACAGGTTGGGCATCCCTAATCCAAAAACCCAAAATCCAAAATGCTCCAAAATCTGAAATTTTCTAAGCACCAACATGAGGCCAGGGAAATTTCACACCTGGTCTTATGTGACAGGTTGCAGTAAAAACACGGGCAAAACTTTGATTCATGCACAAAATTATTTAAAATATTATATACGATTTCCTTCAGGCTATGTATTATATATAAAGTGTGTATGAAACAAATGAATTTCATGGTTAGACTTGGGTCCCATCCCCAAGATGCCTTATTCTGTTTATGCAAATATTCCCAAATCTGGAAAACATCCAAAATTCCTTCTGGTCCCAAGCATTTCAGATGAGGGACACTCAGCCTGTAAAATATATACCTGTGGGCCACGTAAAATATAGCTATGGGTGCAATTTGGCTCCCAGGCTGCCTCCTGGTTGCCTTTACTGCAGTGTTCAGATAATGCCACTTAGAGTGGCCTGGCTCATTGATGATTTGCTAGGTCCTGGATTTGTGGATGAGTGGGTATTTACACAATCTCATTGAATTCTCACAGCCACCTCGTGTAGTTGGTATTATTTTTTCAATTTTACAGCTATAGAAGACATACAGATTTAAAATATAGAAAAAACTCAGAGAAAAATTAAATTGACAAGGCTGAGTTTCAAACTCAAGTCTGAGACTGCGAGTCCCAAGCTTTTCCCACCAAGCCGAGTCGAACACGGGCAAATCTCTGCACATCGACCTTGGAAACTCAGAAATGGGTGGTGGTTTGAGTAGAGCTTGTTTATATTTATTTATTTGTTTATTTTATTTTTTGTTTATTTACTTATTTTTTTTTTTTGAGATAGAGTTTCGCTCTTATTGTCTAGGCTGGAGTGCAATGGCACAATCTCGGCTCACCACAACCTCTGCCTCCCGGGTTCAAGCGATTCTCCTGCCTCAGCCTCCCAAGTAGCTGGGATTACAGATGTGCCACCATGCCTGGCTAATTTTGTATTTTTAGTAGAGATGGGGTTTCTGCATGTTGGTCAGGCTGGTCTTGAACTCCCGACCTCAGGTGATCCGCCTGCCTCAGCCTTCCCAAGTGCTGAGATTACAGGCATGAGCCACTGCGCCCATCCTATATTTAAATATATACTTTTATAGAAGACATAGAACCACATTATAGAATATCTGGGGGGGAAAAAAGTGATCTATCACCTGCCGTGCCTCCCCGGCACATTGGTGTTGCTATTTTAATTCATTTCCCCAGCTGGAACTGCGGTATGCACATTTGCACCCTGGATTTTATTTAACATTAGACTGCCAGCCTTTATCCCGTGATAGCTGTCATTGTAAACATAAATTTTTATGGCTACATAATCTGTGGAGGAGATGGGCCATAAACTGGTTTACTGTTCTGCGATTGTTGGGCACATTGCTTTCGGCTCCTCGGCACTACGAACGATGCTGCAATAAATGTGCTTCTGTTGACGCAGACAGCTCTTTCTGGCCCAGCTCTATTTTATTCCCTGACTGTTGAACGTGTCATTAAGTGACTACACCATTATTTAGCTACCCTTTCCCCTCCCTTTGGACTTGCTGCTTCTGTAAATGTCGCCACAGCAACCAGCTTTTGTCTGGAAAGCTGTGTCCATAATCAGAATCGTTTCTATGCATCGATTCCCTGAAGTTGAAATGTGGCTCAGAGGGCGAGAAGGCTTTGACCAGAGAGCATCGCTCCCACCCCACCCCACTGCCTCACGGAAAAGTTGCACCATTCGGCACCGCTGCTGGGAGTGTGTGTAACAGCTGTTTTCACCATGGGACATACGTTTAAAAGGCACAAATCTAAAGATTGTGCAGTTTGTCCCATTAACGGGATGTGCTGTGGCATTACGCACCCCATAGAGCTTCCACGTGGGGTTTTGAAAATCCATTGTTGAGCCAATACTTTATTTTTAAAATCTATGTCAGAATGCCTGGAATTAAACAGAGGTTTCTCTCCCCCCATCTTCCTGATTTATTTATTTATTTATTTATTTATTTATTTATTTTTCTTTCTTTCTTTCTTTCTTTCTTCTTCTTTTTTTTTTTGAGACAGACTTTTTACTCTTGTTGCCCACGCAGCAGTGTAATGGCATGATCTCGGCTCGCTGCAACCTCTGCCTCCCGGGTTCAAGTGACTCCCCTGCCTCAACCTCCCAAGTAGCTGAGATTACAGGCATGCGTCACCACACCTGGCTAATTTTGTATTTTTGGTAGAGACGGGGTTTCACCCTGTTGGCCAGGCTGATCTCGAACTCCAGACCTCAAGTGATCCACCTGCCTCGGCCTCCCAAAGTGCTGGGATTACAGGCATGAGCAACTGCACCTGGCCATTCTTCCTGATTTCTGAATGTGTTTATGGGAGGAGAAATTCACAAAGGGTTAGAATTGAATCGTGATTTGCTACATTGCCTGTACAACGGGCAAGGACAGGGGCTGCGCCTGTCCTGCCCACTGTGGGCTGTTCACTGCCTGGCACAGAGGAGGTGTTGACTAAAATAGTCCCTAAATAGTTGTTGGCTAAATAAGCGAATGGCCTTTACTGGAAAAATGTATTTGTATGACACTGGATTGTCCCACAAGAATGGCGATGCGTGGTCACTTTAATGAAGATAGTCCTGGGTCATTAGGAGGCCGAATTTGGGGATCTGTGTAGAAACTTTCCTGAGTAGGTTTAGGGTCTTTTCTATTCACTGTTTCCTGGGCCCACCAGCATTTTTTCTTTTTCTCAAGATTCAGTGTAGACTTCAGTGTGGACCAAGTTTTCTCCCATGTTCCTACATTGTTC